GGCGAGAGGCAGGGTACACCCTGGACAGGTCGCCAGATTATCACAGGGCTGACACATAGAGACAGACAACCATTCACACTCACATTCACACCTACGGACAATTTAGAGTCACCAATTAATCTGCATGTCTTTGGACTGTGGGAGGAAGTTGGAGTACCTGGAGAAAACCCACGCTGACAAACTCTGCACAGAAGGGACCCCCCCACCCTGGGTTTGAACTAGGAGCCCTCTTGGTGTGAGGCGACAATGCTAACCACTGCACCACCCTGTTTGATGCTTGATGTTTGATGCTCAAAGTTTTATGGTGGACGACCCCAAGTCCCTGTTCAATATGTGTCCCCCCTCCCAATGTTGAAACGAAATCTACTTCCTTGAAAATACATAGAATCGGACTATATCTTGTGTTTTTGTTCTCGCACAGCGGAGGTCAAATAGTCCAACATGTGACAGAAAAAGCAAATCCAGGAGCTCCCTGACAGTTTCATTGCTCATTAACAGAATCTGTATATCAATAGACTTTTCAGAAGACGTTACTTTTAAGCCTGTATAATTGCCCTTCGGCTGATCAAAGACCTAAATAACAGTGTGGGTGTTTTTTAGATGGATTGAAATAGGTCCCAGTTCCATGAATAATAAATTTAGAGGCTTATCTCTCACTCTAATAAGCGAATGGGAAAACTTCAGTGATCTCAAAGTGCAAGGCTCAAGTCGGGTGGGGAGATTTGAGTTAACTACAGTTTTAGAGGAATAAAGCAGGGAAAATTTAATTTGCTTAGTCATCATGTCCAGTGATGAAGTTGGAGAAGTGCCTGCTGGAAGTGTTTCCAACTTTTGGCCATGCTTACCATACATATGTAAATTAACTGATTGATCTGACTATACTAATACTAATCTTTACATTGCAGATGCCCTTAATATTTACAACTGCGCTTTTCGTACCATGACAAAACTGGAATGAAACAACAACATGCTGTACCTGCCAAGGGTCAGGTGGCAAGTTAGAGGGGAGTTTTACGCGCCCAAGCCCAGGAGCTCATAGTGTCATCATCTGCCTATACTTCTGTTATTCAAACAGGCCATTTACCTGACTTTATAATGGTCTAATTGTCTCCAGGTCTGTCTCTGTCAAAGCATGCCAGCTAATGACCCCTCAGATTAAACACATTCACAGTAAAGTGGAGAAACCAAGTCAGCTGGCTACCTGTGATATACACTTGATGTATCGTGATGCTGCCACTCTTATTTCCTGATGCTCAAATAGATCTTTGCATGGAATCCTCGCCAGCAGTTTTATCTTCTCTGTCTCTGACAGCCCCGTCATCACACTGTAATTCCCAAACCTGTCAATGTCCAGGTTGACGCTGAACGCACAGAGGAAGCTCTTCCCATCCATGAGAGTGACAGACACCCACACCGCAGGTGCTATCAAGGATCTCTGCGTGATTGAGCAAAACATGTAGCGAAGGATTGTTGGATCCTTGCCGCGCTTCCCTGTGGGTCTTTTCCACTCCTCTGCGAGCACTGACACATTATTGTTCAACACGAAACCCAACAGAAAGAACCATATAGGTGGAATAAAGAGCAGTCCGATCCCATAGGTGTAGTTGTACTCTGGCATACAGGGGCAGCTAAACTCAAAGGCAGAGTACATCTGTGCACTGGCTAGTGCCATGATACCACAGATCCCATTCATAAAGGATTCCTGGTTGGACTGGAGGAACTGGAACATCATACGAAACTTATCCATCTTGGGAGATGTGGTGGATCCTTGGTTCAGATGGAATTAAATCTGTGGAGTGAAGTACAATGGAAAGCTTCAAATCAATCAGTGAAACAGTGGTGGACAAGGCACCGCAGCACAGTGACTCTTGAACCAGTGTGCAAAAGAAATACTTCACCACGTCCCAAATTATGGTTTGTATAGCAATCTGTCGCCCTGTGTTATGTTGAATTTGGATAGAAAACTTTGTTTTTCTTGTAAGCCTCCACAGGGACCAAAAACAACACTGGATACAACTAGATAAATGAGACTTTGATTATACTGCACAAATTGTTTGAGAGTTTGTAAACTGATGTTTTGATATTGTTGTACTGTTGTTTAATGCAATCCTCTTTGACTTCAATTCATCATCACTCTGCGTTCACTGTGGAGGTATGTGAGAAAAACAAAGTTTTCTTCCCAAATTCAACATGAAATGGGGTGCGTAATTTACCCAAATGATCATTTGGAGGTGTAGTAGTAGTATTCTATTATATTTGTGTACATTTTACATTGCTTTATATTTGTTTGACAGCACTTTGGTCAATGGCGGATGTTTTTAAATGTGCTATATACACTTGATTTGGTTTAATAAAGTATTTACTAGTGCTTTATAAAACATAAATAAAGAAATATAAGAGATGTATA